AAACTAGGCCCCAGCAACACATTTGTTGGCATCTGAAGCAAGCAAACTTTCTCGTCTTCATAAATTTTTGAGAAGATTCTAAAGGATCCTGACAACTAAATGCCTTTAAAGTGCAAGGAAGGAGGATCCTGAAGACTGGAAACCTCAGAGTTATGAGTTAATAGTGAACATAGCTGGAAATTGTGCTTATGAGTGATTGCTTGAGTATACCTACTTGCAAATGACATATTTGATAAAGGGTTAGTATCAAAAATATATAAAGAACTTATAAAACTCAACACCCCCCAAAACAAATAATCCAATTAAAGAATGGACAGAAGACATGGATAGACATTTTTCCAAAGAAGACAGACAGATGGCCAACAGACAGATGAAAGGATGCTCAACATCACTCATCATCAGGGAATACAAATCAAAACTACAATGAGATATCACCTCACACCTGTCAGAATGGCTAAAATTAACAACACAAGAAACAACAGGTGTTGGCAAGGATGTGGAAAAAGAGGAACTCTGTTGCACTATTGGTGGGAATGCAAACTGGTGCAGGCACTCTGGAAAACAATATGGAGGTTCTTCAAAAAGTTAAAATGGAACTATCAGCAATTGTACTACTAGATATTTCCCCAATGAATAAAAAAAATATTAATTCGAAGGGATACATGCACCCTGATATGTGTGTGTGGTATATATGTACATATACACACACACTGGAATATTACTCAGCCATACAAAGAATGAACTCTTGCCATTTACAATGACATGGATGGAGCTAGAGAGTATTATGCTAAATGAAATAAGTCAGTCAGAAAAAGACAACCACCATATGATTTCACTCATATGAGAGAGAGAGATTGGGAAGTTGCCAGCTGCTTCTGAATGCAATCGGGATAGAGTCAACCTGAGCAGAGCTCTGTTCTGTGAAGAGATTTTTGAGTGGTTTCTCTTAATTATACCTACTTGTGTGGCTGAACAAAAGGCACCACACCCCTTCTCATGCATGGCTATGCTAGGAGGAAAGGACAGCAAGAGTGACCCTGGGAAGTCAGTCCGGAAGGAAGTGCCAGATAGAGTCTGGCTCACACCTGAGACTACCCAATTGCCTACGGGTTGGGGAGGAAAGCTGTGTCCACCCAGTAAGTACTTTTCTTTTGAGAAATGACAACTAATCACATGAGTGCCAGAGAACTGTGACTTTGGATCCCAAGTATGTATTACCTGTGTGTGAAAGCATGATTAAAGGACTACTGTCCCTCCCTGTTATGTTGAATAAGAACCAAGAGTTGATGGAAATTCATGGGTCAGGGTGGGATCTAGGGAGAGATGATGCACTTCTACCCAAAAGGGCAGAAAGAAATTAAGAAAGGCAGATAGGAAAATAGAAATTAGGAGATTTAGGGAAGGAGATTTAGTTAGGAAATAGGAATTAAGAAATTCAAAACAATACGACTGTGTTTACACCTTGGGCGGATGAAGCAGGACATGTCAGTTACATAACAGGTTTTTAGCATGTGAATTTTAGAAGCCGTCCATCCGTGATTCATTTCACATTCTCATGCTTTTTAATGTTATATTCTTTGCTTTAAATTTTCTTCATTTCCACTTCTTCCGAAAGAATGACTTGGCTTTTCTAGAAATAGTCTTTCTGTCTTTTCTTCTCCCATAGCCCTTGGGACATATGTCTGTACTTTATCATAACATATTCCTTACAATACTTGGTTTGTTTGCATGTCTAACCCAGAGGCAGAAATTGTATGTGTATTTACCTTTGTACATCACTAGGACCCATTACAGTGTCTTGAATGTGTTAGGAACTCAATACATAATTTCAAATGAATAACCTGCTTAATATCTCTTGTACTTGCATTTCCCCTTGGTTCCTTGTTTTCAAAGCTTCATTTATTAAAGGTTACAGGTCTACAGCCTATCTCAAAAGGCCAAGTCTATCTTATAAACCAGTCTTCAACATTGCAAATGCAGAACCTCCTCATTCAGATGTTATTTCACTTG